AAAAAAAAACAATTCGTAACACGGTGCGGAGTAAAAAAAAAAACGCCCGGCGCATACGTTGCAATAGGTGAATGTGAATTCTTATGTGAATTCTATGAGATTTCGCGCTATCCTTTAATGTTTCCTGGAATTCCTGGAGGAAGGAAAGGTTACAGAGAACACCGCTTATGCAGTAGGGGGCGAGCAAGAAGAGGAAGTTATACTTCTTTTATGACCACGATGAGTTCTAGTGTTCGCCAACACTGTTTATTCGACAAATGTTATCACGAGTTATTGGTAGAGTTCGATGCTGAATACCTCCACAACTCTGAGAATAAGGCACTTCTGAGCGGGGGTCAGTGGAGCATAATCAAAAGGATACTGAGAGACCACAAGGGTGACGATGACGACAAAGGAAATATAATTTCGATGGATGACAGTTAATTAAAAAACGATAAATGACCATATTCATCAAAATGTTGGATACTGTCGTGCCCCTATCAATTTTCTCCAGAGATTTTTCTTCAAAGATCTGATGGAGGTGGCTGTCACGAAGACAAATATCTGCGAGAAGTTTTTCATTTTAAAATATAGATACTAAGTAGCTAGAAATTTTTTGAGAATTCACCTACAAATGTAATGCTCAAGATGGAAAAGCAGACCAACTGTTGGTCGCTGGAACATTGAAATTTGCCAGAAGTGGGGATTCGATTGCACTAGTACCTTTTAACGGAAACGTGAGTTGCACATCATCCAACTTACTGACAATAAACAGAAGCATTTAAGTGTTTCCCAACTTCGTCGTGTTAAGAAGCAGAAGAGGCTGTTGTTAGAGCACGACCAGACGCACCTCAAAGTAGACATCTCATCATCATCACGTCTGAGGCTGTCAGTGATTAAGCAGCCTACTGTTTCCATCAATTTACTGAATTCTGCCCTGAACGCCACAATTTTCAGATTCTCCAGTCTCTTTCTATACATCTAGAGATTCAATTCATCGCATCAGAGAGTTTCGAAAGAGAAATATCTGCTTGCTCACAGTGAAATATTGTTTGATTCTGAAAATGTTCATCGTATTAAGCAACTTTCGCTTGATATGCGCATTTGCCTCTGCAGTTAGACAGAAATTATTAAACAATAACAAATCTAAAGAAGATTATTAACAGATGAGCATGGGTTGGGCGTCCATGATGGGAGACTTTCCATGGACGGGATGGCTGTCGGTCAACATTGACCGACACCGTCACCAAAATTAAGCCGCTAAAATTATTGCTGCAACCTGTAAGTTCACTTGGAGATATGCGGCACTCACCGTCTGTCAAGGAATAATCGCGCGAAAAAGTCAGGAAAATAGGACAGCGAGCAACCCCGTCAAATGAAAATATGAAAAGATTACGTACTCTCCTGAAGCCCTGTACCCCGACTTTCCTCTCGTTCTCAACAAAGAACTCTCAAACTCACCACTTTGCTCTCAATGATTTTCTCGTCATTGTCCCATTCCAAATCAGCATCGAAATATTGCGCTGCCTTGGAATTCCTCTCGGCACAGTATAGCAAATGTCCTTCACCATGGGAAAACTTCAATGTACCAAAAGGAGCTGAAATAAGCACTATATAGCTCAGCAATGTAGGGCAGCCAAACCTAAAGCGTGCTTTGAGCGACACAATCGCCCAGAAAGTGCCACGGGCCGACCAATCCTTATGATTCATTCTGTCGCGAAAAAACTTAATGACAACTAAAGTTTCAGAAGGAACAACGAAGCGCTCTTACTTTAGCTAGCATTGAAAACCCGTGATAAGCGTTAGTGACAATCGACGGGGCGTCAGGCGACAGTTCTGCTGGAGGAACTACTTAGAGTAGCGGTCACAAGTCTTTGGTGAAACGCTTTTCCAGTTGTAACTTTTCTCCTACTGCATAAAATCAAATGAAATTTTAGCATGTTAATCAGTGCGTTAGTAAAGCTTAACCCGCATATGGTCGAAAGTATAGATAGCGGTGACATCAGAAAAACCGTTTTATTCCGGAATAACAACTCGTGAAACATCAAAAACATCAATGTTTGGTAGGAAAGCATCGCCTTTTGTGACAGCATCGCAAGGAGATGGCATCGAGTCGACTAACGTCTGGATGGTGGATTTTAGCATGGCGGTTCCTTCCTTTGCCAACTTAGCGAATATTTCTCCACTGTTCTTACAAAGTACGTTCGAACAACTCTTTTCAAGCTCTTCTCACATGTGCTCTATAGGATTCAAATACGCTGACTGGCTTTGCCACTCCAGCAGTGTGGTTCGCTGTTCGCTGAAGACTGCCTTTACAACTATTGAGATGTGTTTCGATCGTTATCTTGCTGCAAGATCCATCCTGCTGCTATGTGCTGTTGTGCCCATGGCAAGACGATGTTGACCATCGCGTTTTTGTAGTAATCTCCCATCATCGTGCCGTCGGTGATCAAAATAGGGCTCATTCCGTTCGGGGAGAAGGAGAAGAAGGAACCATGCTGAAATTCCCCATATCAACGTCGTCCTTACCGTATACCATCACTTGCAAACATATTGAATTGCTCTCGTCTATAAGAAGAACTTTTCTTCAGTCAGTCAAAGTTCATCTTATATATTTATCCTCACGGTACAAGGGGTCACAAGGTGAGGAGCATTTCCTAAGTCGTACAATTTATGAAGGAGCACCGGTCAATAAGGTGACGTTTTGCTTACCGTTCATTTCCGAAGAAATGAGCAGAACAATTCATTCATGTGTGACTAGGTGCGATCTAAAGGAAGACGTCATGGTCGTAGAAATACCCCCAGGAAAGCTTTGTCGACAACTGGTTCGCAATCGCTTATACGACATCTTGTGCACACACACACACTAGATTGCCTTGTGTGTCCTTCCAATCGACGGGGTGATTGCATGAGAGCAGGGGTGATTCGCCAGGCCTGTGGTGCTGAATGTAGTGGTGAAACATTGCGCCCCATTCGTACACGAATCAAAGAACACCTGGAGTGGCTAAGAAAGCTTGCACCCAAACACCACTAGGAATGCATCGAGTTCTGTGCCACGATGGTAACGAACTCACAATTTCAGTAACCATCTTCGCACTAGAAACGGAGACTACTGCGCAAAAAGCACTTGAGGCGTGTTGGATTGCGACTAGAGACCCACAAAACAACAGGAAGGAAGAGTGTATGGCCGTGACCCGTGACCTTGCGCCCTTGCTCGACCTCTATGAACTGAGATTACGATTAGGTCAGGAAGGAGGTAGACTTGCTCATTGTACGCATATTGTAAACATTGGGTGGTCGATCTAACGCTCCGGCGATTTAGATCAAGGTAAGCCTCTTGTATACCGGGTTCAAGGGGTCTCTAATCTGAAGAACTGTCTTGGGTTTATCTTGCCTTATTACGGAGTCAATCTCAATGGTTTTTCGACTTTTAGGCGAACTCGCCGAAACGTTAACCCTGTAAAGTTTGAAATCTTGAAAAAGCTGAAGCAAATATACTACTTGGATACTTGGACGCTCGTTGTCGGCTGATATTTCTCAGCGGCGAGCACACGCTTCCATCCATTTTTGACGATCTTGAGCGGTTTGGGACCAGTGTTGACCATCGTTTTCCTGAAGTTTCTTCAGTGAATCACTCCATCTCGTTGCAGGACGGCCTAGTGTGCGTTTAATCTCACGTGGGTACCAGAACGTGACGCGAGTGGTCCACCTGTCGTCCGTGCGTCTAACCACGTGCCCTGCCCATCGTTTCTTTGCGTTCCACGCGTACACTTCGGCGTCACGGATGCCGGACATTGAGCGCATGTCTGCGCTGCGGAGGTTAAGACTTCTCTGCTTCGCGCGGTTGATCTTCAGCAGCGTCCGCTCTAGAGCTCTTTGTGCGCGAACCAGCATTAGCGTTGACGTCTTGTTCTCCGCCCACGTCTCTGATACGTAACAGAGTGCTGGCAATACCGTAGAGTCGAAAAGGTCAGCTCGTACTTTCTTGTCCGATACGAGATG